AGAGAGAGAGAGAGAGAGAGAGAGAGAGAGAGAGAGAGAGAGAGAGACTTGTGTTTGCATATATAGTAATTCAGGCTCATAAACATTACCTAATACAATAATTTTGAACGATCAGAACGTATTCTGGGGCATCACATTTGCAAATCTTGTAATTAGTTTTTCTTAAAGAGCATCCAGTTATGCTAATCACAAAGTGGGCAGAAATGCGTTGATCTCATATTATCAATTCGATCCTAATCCAGAAATTGTGCATATTATTGAATTAGGTTCGATCATTTAATTTCGAACGATGTCGGTTATATGTTTAGAATGACTTCTAATATTCTAAGTGGTATATTTTGGCGTCATGATCGGTCACTGGTCATAAAAGACAACAATATGTGTTCATGTTTGTAATTGTTTTGATTTTGTATCAATTCTAGTATTGCAGAGGAACTCTCCGCTATAAGTTCTAGTATAAAATAGAGTTATGAAGTTCCGCAAGCCACGTAGAAAGAAATGCATTGTAACTTCTGATGTCTCTGTGATCTTGCTCGGAATGCGGCTACGTATATTAATACGAAAGCTCCTATGTAAGCCTATGAACAGATTGAATTCCGATGTTCTCGAAAATGTCGGAAACTTACTTCTTCCGCGCATGTAAACCAATGGCCAAGAAAATGTTAGATGTGCTAGATCGCATTACAAATGAAGGTAAAATTTAAAATTTAAATTTAATTTGGTATTTTTCTTTTTATTTAATCATTAAATTTTTAATTTGATTTCGCTATTTGTAAACAAGCATTTAAATAACACCTTATTATTTGCGGGTAGATATTATTACTTATCTTATAATAAATTAGTAAATTTTTTATTTAAATTTTTTCGTTTATTATTGTGTAAATTTAACAAACCTTATAAATGTTAACAAAACTATTTTAATTTCAGTTGTTATTGTATATAAACAATTATTATACCAACTGCTTTTTTCTCTACGTTATGATATTATTGTCATATACGTTTTTTTTTCTCATTGAAGACATTACGAGTCATTCATTGTCTTGTTACATTGACGAATCAAAAAAAGAAAAAAAAGAAAAAAATAAAATATATTTGTATATAATTAATAAGGTTTTTCAAAACTTATAACTTAAGCTATTAAGTATATATTTACATAAAATTATGACAACAGAGAAGCAATTTGAGGAAATGGAAAACTCGAAGCTTGCTTTGTCTGCTCTTTTGGGTATTCTTTGAACTGAACGTTATATTTAAGAGCTTTGGTTTCCCTTTCTCCTAAAAGATTCTAAATGAATAAGGGTATAAAGGCTACTTGGCCGAGTCTAGTCTAAATCTTTACGTATATGTATGTAAAAATTAAAATATAATTCAATTTTCTTATTTCCGAATTTAGTTTAAATTAAAAAACATGTTGTTTAGATTCAAAAAAAAAAAAAAGAAAAAAAAAAGAAAAACAATTAACTTTCATTATATTTACATATTAATATTTTCCGATGGCAAAACTATTTACGGCGAGAAATAAAGCAGTTCCCGGAAAATATTTGGAAATAAATTCGTTATAATTTTGATATTTTCGCTTATGCTCTTAATTTTAGCGGCGGTCAGGAAATGATAAAAATGCTTTTTTTATATTTAATTAAAAACAAGAACAAATCATCAATATTCGTAGTTTTTCACGTGCTCTTCTTTTGGAATGAAACGAACACATTCTATTTATCAATGATTGTAAACGAAAATTAGTTAAAAACAAAACAAAACAAAAAAAAAAAGCACAAATATTATAATTAGGAGGAAAAGCACGGAATTCGTAAATCTAGGGCAGCAATTTAAAAGTATATATTAATTTTATTCCTTATCATGGCCGTTAGCACCCAATTCCATTAGTTCATGCGGCTCGTCATTCAACTATTTCATGAAGAAGAATGAGAATGAAAAGTTCAGGTAAAATATATCATCGATAACATACCCTATCCACTTTTTGTAAGTCCTTTTTCGATAAGTGATTAACTAAAATTGTGCCCAACGCATCGCACATCACATTAATAGTGGTACGAAAACGATCTCTATGAAATTAATTAAAAATTATTACGAAATCAGAGAATGTTTTTTGTGATTTTCTTATTGGGAACTTACAGTAGCCAATCAACGGCTATGATTAGCGAAACATCTTTAGGTTCCAAGCCTACCGTATCCAAGACCATGACCATGGTAACAAGACCAGCTTGTGGTATACCGGCAGCCCCTATAGACGCGGCTGTAGCTGTGATACTAACGGCGACTATGGTGCCAAACGAATAACTCATTTCTCTGTATTGAGCAATGAAGAGAGCTGCCACTGCTTCATACAAAGCTGTACCATCCATGTTGATGGTAGCGCCAACAGGTATAACGAAACGAGTAACACGCGGATCGATTCCCATCCCGTCCAAACATTTTATGGTTAGCGGCATAGTCGCTGAACTGGATCCTGTGCCAAAAGCAGTCGCTAAAACCTGACTTAGCTTAGCTATGAATCGATATGGCAAACGTCTGGTACCCAAAAAAAAGATAACCGCAATTGTACCTAGAAGAAGAAAGTATTATGACATTTTCGCAAAGAAAAGAGCTGAGGAAACAAACTAACCGAACCCATGAAGAAATAGACCCAACATAACCGTTATGAAATACCAGCCCAAGGATTGTATGGTAGCTGCAATTGAGTCCATTTCAATGATTTTTGCCGCTATTAAGAAACCAACACCCAAAGGAGAAATCCTACAAAATATTTCGCAAGTTTTAATAGAAAATACAGTTTAGTTGCCGCAATTTTCGTATAGCGACTTTACCATATAACCCAGGATGTAATTGTCATCATCGCTTCACTCAAGGTAGTAAAAAAATCTTGCAATAATTGACCTTTTTCACGCATACGACCGATCGTAGTGCCTAAAATAACACTAAACATTACTAAGCCCAAAACATTCGAGCCCTCTCGTTGAGCCGGTTTAAAATCCCATTCCTCCATAGGTACTGAAGTCAAACAAAGTATGAATGTTTAATATACTTTACGCGTACATTAAGCAGTACTTACATGGCGGTGAAATGCTCGTATTCTCATAGATCTCGGTACGATACTACAAAAACGAGAAAGAGAGAGAGAATAAGAAAAAGAAACTTGAATTACTCTTTTTCAATAAAAAGTAAAAAAAAAAAATTGAATTAATGCTATGGTTCACTCTCTCGATAGACCCCTACATGTCAACCCCAATGTTTATACACACTACATAACCGAGAACACTGCATTAGTGGGATCCATCGAACTCTTAATTAGAATAAAAGTATACAGTCCCCTATGTCGATCTACCGGATCTCAGGGTCGTGCAATTTGATATATTTACAAGATCGGTAGGCAATCTCTAACTGAAGTCATATTAACATTTGTACCTGAAAGCAAATTCTGGGATTGATTGTGTACCATACATTCCACTGTCGGAATGGAAATAGTCTTCATTTAATATGATAGTTTATATCCTACATTACTTGTGTATATGTGTGGGTATAGCCATTTTTTATCGCACCCATCACTTCAGAATCATTTGATGAATCGAGGTAAACTTGTCTGTCCGGCCGTCCTTCCAATTATCTTGTATTCAATCTAAAGATCGGGACTTTTTGGCTACTTGGAAAAAGTTTAATACATAGACTTGTTTTGACTTATGGTAGATTGAAAGTGGTTCAAATGGGAGCACTTCCTTGATTACTTCCCATATAAGGTATTAGCGAAGTGATTTAAGATATTTAAAAGAGCGACTTTGGCAAATACAAAGTTTTTTATTTGTTTGTTTATACTCTCCGCACAATTCAAATATGACATCGAACATTACGTCGAATGGTTGGACAAAGTTCGTCTTCCAGATGGTATCCCATATCGTGGATCGAAGTACTCAGAATAATCGGGGCCGAATTCAATAACAGCTATGCTCATTCTAAAGGATCATTGACTCATTGAGTTTTCGCCAACATAGCCTTCATTGGGGCTTCACGGAATCTGATGTTTCGTTAAAATACCGCAAAGCATACCCTATTTTGATTATTGGTAACGCGCTATCCCTCTTGCCAGTTCGTTGCTATATCACATATAAAAATTCGACTTTTTACCTCCTTTCTTGAATAGAAAATTTTTAATAGCAACAGCGAGATATTGAGTTTGTCGCGTTTTGTTACAAACGGAATAATAGAATAAACATAAGGTGGTCATACACTAAGTCATGGTGCCATTACTTAATTGAATTATTTAACTGGATGTAAACAATAACAGTACGACAGCAATTGATTATGAGCGAGTCTTATTGTCTATGAAATACATACGATTACTAGTGAGACGATAATGATAATTTAATTCCACAACCGCAGGCTACATGACAAAATTGACTGACTGACTGACTAGTAAACTATATGCTATTGCTATGTTATTGTTGATGTTGTGTAGTCAGTGATTGTGACACAAATAATTTTAAATGATATAAGGCATAATATTCGCCAAGAGATTCGTAATCAAAAGCATAAGAAAAATTTATATAATAATCGCATAAATGGCAGTCACAGGGCTCTGCGTTGAGTGCGTTTTATGATGTTTGATTGTTTTAATCAAACATAATAAAAAAAAAAAAAATAAAAAAAATACATAAAATCTGAAGTAAATACGAAAATCAAGATATGCGTTGTATGGAACATCAAAGCACATTTTGATTATCGTGATGCGATTACGTTTTCTTCCTAGGTTTTGATTGGTTTCTTACAAAGTAAATTAAATTATTTTTTTCCAAACACGCTAATCGGATATAAATGTTGCAAAAAAAAAAAAAAAACGTGAAATTATGACTATATATAGATATATGTATGGAATGAGTCTACACGTACATACCTGAAACATAGTAGATTGTATGATATTGTCCGTAAACATATTTCTATAAAAGAAAAGCGGAAAAGTATTTTGTAATCAAAAGAAAAAAAAACGATTACGATTGTCCAATAGGCTGGGCCAACTATTTACCTGATTAAATCCATTAACGTGTCGGGAGTTAAGACTTTGGAAGCCTTATCAACTGATTCCATACGCTTTTCGACAATTTTTGCACCCTGTCCTGGTCTAATACTCGTTACCAAGCATATACCTAACACAACAGCTGATATTGTGGTTATGAAGTAATAAGCAATTGCTCTGTGGAAATAAAATAATGTGAATAAACGCGTAACAACTTTGAACAACTATTAACTTCCGTTTACCTCGTAGCGATTTTACTCGACATACTCAAATCAAGACCACCAATAGCAGAAGTAATTGACGACACCAATAACGGCACAATCAGACATTTTAACATTCTACATAAAATTATTTCGAATAGTTAGAATTGACATTGGCAAGCAAGATATTATGCTCAGTTCATACTTACCGTAAAAATATTTCACCTGGGAAGGATATATACATAATTTCACGCTTTGTCCAATCTCCGGTACTGTTTTTGATGATGAAGCCGACTAGACCGCCCGCAAAAACACCAATGACCGTCAGCATGGTCAACAGGTTCTCTTGCATAAAGACGCGGAACTTTGAATCACTTTTCGGTCGCGGCATTTTGATCTTATCGTCTTTTCAGCGAGACGGAAAAAAAAGAAGATAATAAATAAAAATGTGCAGGAAAGCAATCGACCCGCAAATGGCTTAACCAAATTTTAGTATGCTAAACCCCAGCCGCCGTTAAATTTGTTTTAAAATCTATAACGAAACAAAAAAAAAATTAATCCGATTAATGTTTTATTTCTCGATAGTTAAAATTTCATTTAAAATTTAACATAATAATAGAAAATCATTGAATGTTATATATACGCTTTAATGGCCAGTTCAAACGTAACTGAACTGTGTTACGGTTAATAATCAAGCGTAAACCCAACTAACCGAACAATGTATTTGCAGCGCGCAGCTTTGTTTTAGAATGCTTGAGTCTTTCAACCCCTTAAGCATGCGCTTAAAATATCCGCACATATGTACAAAAGTATATAAGAGCACACAGAGTAATATGCGAAAACAAACACAGTCATGCTGTGCTTAATGCCGTCAGATTTAAATCGGATGTTCCATGGAAGTATTAAAAATATTTTCTTGTATCTGTAGCAATAAGTATCATATTAAAGCATACATACAGCAGCAAGTATATACTTAGAGGTAGACATCTGACCGGAAACTGTGCTCAAATTATTCTTAAATACACAAAAATCAAAAGCTGCGGTTATTCACTGCTATCTCCGTGCTGAAGAGTGAGCGAGCATTTTATTCACCACCGTACGCTTAAACTATATCGATTTTGTTGTTGATTTGATGCTGTCGGTCGATTGTTGTCACATTCCCAATCGATTTAATGTACGACATTGAAAAGTTTTCAAGTTCTAAAAGAGAACGCGAGAGAGAGGCGAAGAGAGAGAAAGCATAGATCTTTACATATGGGGGTTGTTCCGAATAGAAAGTATATCTTAACTTCCCTCTTCTCTTATATCCTTCCAGATTAATTTTCATAAATTTACAAAAATGTCTGCCGTAATAAAATCCAACTTACTAATATCGGTTTTATAACCTATTGCCTATTATTGTTTATGCTCGTCAACGAGAGTAAAATGACGTTTCTTTTAAATGAATTTTTTGCCCAAATTTGTGAATGTAATTCGACGTAATGTACTGGTGTTGGTGTTGTACGTAAAATAATAATATAAAATCCACAACTTATTTTTTATAGTAATATTAATATTATGAATTAATGATAATTAAATGCCAGAAGTGATGAAATTTGGTGTAGTCGCGCAGAGAACTAATAAAGAGATATTTCCTTTTACTGCCACGTATGGGATTTCTCATTTAAAATGGGCATGATAAGGCCCACGGAACGCATAATTCACTATATGTTTTTGGACGTACTCCCAGACTGTCTTTTCATGAAAACTAGAAAGTTAAAAACAACTTGATAAAGAAAAATTTGGACCAAAGGCTTGGCCATTACGTACTTACAGTCCATGACACTTACGACTGTCTAGTCTAGGTGGTCGCGGGTTCAAACTTCAGTAAGCCATACCTTTCATATATATACACCTAGCTACATATAGTTATTGAAGCTTACTGTTTAGTACGTTAAGCCTAAAGTATTACAAGACAACTTGAAGTGTTTACTTCGAACTTTGCTGACGGCAAAAAGTTTGCAACGGGATTCAATCGTAGTACAAATATTTTTAATTGATGATCAAATTGAACTCACTAAGCATACGAAAAAAAATCTTAACTATTTCCATAATCGATATTGGGTTGAGACTTGTTACAATGATCGTGACTTATTTACCGCTACGCCTGCCACACTTAAAAAGGTATAACAAACGAGCTTAAAGCTTGGCACAAATATTACCTAGAATTATGTGAAAGGCCAATGAAAAAAAAGTTTCGCACAAAAAACTGGTGCAGCAACGATTTGCTTTGCGGTTTTGGGTGTTCTTCAGGTCGACAAGGATTCATCCTAGAAGAGAATGTGCAGTCCTCGTTACTTCTTTTTTTCTTTCAATAGTACTCTGTTCCGGAAGTGTTATCAATTTTGTAATTTTTTTTTTAACTCAAAGAGCAATCCTTGTATTCTTTTTTAAAACTGAAAAGATTATCATTTCTACATATAATAATATTCGTTTATTTTTATTTTGTAATGAGCGCTTTCTTGGACATTAATTTGTTTACATCGCGTTCCTCAATGTTCTTTTGCATTTGCTTATATGTATGAACAAATTTGGATATATATATCGGATATATATATATATATATATATATATTTGGATATATATGAACTCATTTAGTGTTCGAAATGCATTTCCTGTCTTATAATTTTTCCGATATTAATATTCATTAACAATCATATGATCTTCAATTTTGAATAAATTATTTGTGCAATATTTAATGGAAAATAAATTTTCGAAAAAAAAATTCTTATTTAAATTAAACGGTTTATGAATATCCATTACATTATTCTATTCCATAGACATTGTCAACATATTTGGGGCATAACTGTTATAATATATATATGCATACAGACGTTTGGTTAAATACACCGCACTATGATATATTATCAATTTTTGTTATAAATGAATTTAAATTGGTCAGAAATTTAACGAGGGCCGTATAGACAAATTGATCAACAAATATATGTGCAAGATAAAGTAAACAATTTCACTCGCATATATATATTTATATATATATATATATATATGTATGTGATGAGCATTCATATCAATTTGTGAATTAATTGAATAGCATTTCAAATTAGTTTGCATACTTTATGCTTTCATCCCGTGTATTTGCAACAAGTCATATAAATGGATGCATGTTGTTGCATTTTATATTCAACATGAACTCGTGTGTGCGCACAGTTTCTATACCCGTAATGAAGAATCCAGTTTAATTCGCTTTTTCATTCTGCTTGTAACAATCAAAGAGACGTGTTAGTTTCCCTAAAATATATACATATACATGGGCGTACATATATGTTCTCCATCAAGCACAATCTATCAGGCATGACCATTCGTAGATCAGCTCACGGCTGGATTCGTGGGTTCGTTCGTGGACTTGTGCGGTGATCTGTTGGAGGGATCGTGCATAGGTCCATCGGAGGGACCGCGCGTGAGTCGGTTCATGGGTCTGTTGACGCGACTTCTTGTGGTTTAGTTTGCAGTTTCATTCATGGGTCCGGTCAGGGATCGGTTTCCGGGTTCATTCGGCGATCTATTCGTGGATTTCTGCGGGGTTGCACTGGACGAACCGTGCGTGAGCGCGATCGTAGGTGCATTCGTGGGTGCGTTCGTGGATTCTTGCGGCACCAAGCGTGGCTCCGTTCGTGGGTCTATTTGTGCACCTGCTTTCACGCCTGCTCATGAAATCGTTGGTGTTTCCATTCATTGGCCCGGTCATGGGTTCATTCGTGGGTCTGTTCACGGATCCGTTGTTGAGTCTATTCGTGAGTCTTACCATACTTCCATTCGTTGTTGCAAATCTTAAAAATCTTAAAGTTGAGTCTTAATGGACATAACCCTGGATTTGTTCGTCGGACTACGCTTGAAAATATACAATCACGGGCGCAAACGGCCTCCCGGATTTCAAGCTAAAAAAAAAAAATGTAAAAAATACAAAAAAACATATAACTTGGAAAGAAACAAAAAAGTTTTAATGTCTTCGCTCATAGTTTATCGCTTATAGTTAACAACGCTGAGAAATATAACTTTAATATTAATCTGGGAAGTTTACTAAAAATATATTAGAGATCGGGACGCTGACAAGCCGTATCAATAGCAATAAATACTATTTTGATTGCTGCATATTGAGCATATGTTCCAAGGCGGACAATACTGTCTAAATTCAAGTTTACTTGGCAAATGTGGTATGAATTTCTTTCATTCATTTATTCATTCGTTGTCATGATATTTTTCTCTATGACAGCTCAACGAAATGTTAAAATTAAGTTTCATTGATTGATCTAAGCAGTTGCTGCATCGCAAGTCATACGAAATTAACAAAAAAACATAAGACACTAGTAAGGGAAATTTGTCTTATATTTAATTAGATAAGTTTCCTTAATTTTAATTTTAATAATAAAACAAATTTGCAAGCAATTTGTACAATGCGCAAACATTATTTAAAAGTAGCAACAACGTATGCATTTTTATTTTATTTTCACATGTATTGCACATTTCTTATCTTTAGCTAATAAAAATAAAAAATAGTAATTACATTAAAACATTTTAAATAAAAAAAATAGTCATTTATTCTCCTGAAAACTTGACAGAGAGTAGAAACGATAATGACCTTTCTTTCTCATTTCTTCAAAATCGCCGCGATCGCCCTGTTGGTTATTCATAGTAGAGCGAAAAGCAATGTATTGGCCCACCTATAGGTATTATTAATCATATTAATCGAAATGTATTTACGCCTAAGCATTTAAGAGATATATATAGAATAATACTTATAGAAGAAAAAGAGGTAAAGAGAGAGAGAGAGAGCGTTAAAGAGAATTTACAATATTTTGCTTGCCATCGCCATAACACTTGAAATAAATCGACAAAATTAAGATCGACTTGTTCGACTTGTTTGTATGTCGCCTGATCAAGGACGAAAGATGATTATATAAGAATGGTGGTGTCGTGAGTCAACTATGGCAATGTTAAAATTCAATTTACAGAATTCCAGCAACTATCTATGTAACATATGCGGAATGCTAACTTTCTTTCACACTTACAAAGCTAAGAACTGTGAGATGTCTACAGAGGTACGTATGCCTTAATGCGATTCAAAAGTAAAGATTGATGAAACACTTATCTGTTTAATACAAACAAACTGACAGACAGTTATAAAGGAGAAATTTTTTTCTCCTTTTGAAAAGTGGGCCATGTCGCGGGGATTACACAGGTAAGTCATATGATAAAGTGCTTGACAGAAGTAAAGCCTCTGCGCAAGATACGATATTTTACTTCAAGAATTGTCTGAACTAAATATATCGGTGCTTAAACGTACTTGTTAGAATTTGTTACCTGACATGACCCGGTTAGACAATAAATCCGCACTTTCAACGACCATGCGGACTCGAATACGTAAAAAAAGATTTTAATCTATTTATTTACTTTGAGTTTTCTGTCGCAATTTGCTGGAACAGAGCTATCATTCACCCATACGAGATCGTACGGAGAGTATGTATCACAGCTAAA